ATCCCCGCTGCCCCCCACTGCTCCATGCTGCATGGGGGGCTCTTCACAAGCCTCCTGACCCACCCCTCCTCACTCCCCCAGCCCCACCACAGGTGCCCAGCCAAGCCAGCTCCGGCCCTTTAACAAAAAAAAAAAAAAACAGAGAAAAGCCCCAGGACTCACCGTTCCTGCAGTGGCCTCAGGGCTTCAGGGGCTCATGCAGAGCCCTTCACGTGGTACAGGGCAGCAGAGGGTAGTGGAAATCGCCCCCACCGGCAGGAGCAGTGATTCTGGGTTTTTTTCTTTTTTTTTTTCTTAAAAGGCCAGAGCTGGTCCAGGCAAGGCACCCGTAGCGGGGCTGGGAGAGTGAGGGAGGGATTGGGGGACTTGTGCAGAGCCCTCCCATTCAGCATGGGTCAGCAGGGAGCAGCAGGATTCAACCCCTGGCCGGCAGCACCCGCTGAGTCGGGGCTTTTTTTTTAACAAGTGCCAGGAACTTGGCTGGGCAGGGCAGCCATTGCCGGGCTGGGAGAGCAGGCAGGGGATGGACCTGGCCTGGCTGATTCAGAGATTCGGCTGATTCAGCAGCAGCCCAATCTCTAAATCAGATTTGGCCAAATTGAATTGGGATACTGATTCAAATCACTGTCCCCCAAATCGGGCGAATCCAAATCCGAAGCAAATACTAGCTGCTTTGCACAGACCTAGTTGTTACTTCTTTTTCTGTTCAGCAATAGAACAAGCAAGCTCCCCTTTGCAGTTAGTATTAAATGAGTAACTGAAACTATGGCAACTGTCTGTCTTGTGGGTAGACTGCTATAGCAGTCTGAAGGAAGAAGTTTCTAGTCTTGGCTCCCTGAATGCTCATGTGAGCTCTCTGGGAATTGGGACTGCAGAGATGGATTCAGTGCAGACAGGTGTCTTCACTGGGCTGTTTGTAGCAAATGTAGTTATAGACATATCAGCACATACCTCCTGCTTCGCTTATGTTTCTGGTTGCTGGGTGGGGAATGAAAATACTTTGAATGAAAGTACTTTGGGTTCTGTCCCCTCTGTCCAGGGTTCAACTAATATGTGTATATTCCTGTCTGCAGTAAAATGGGCCTAACCCAAAAATTAAAATCTAGAGCTAGAGTGGGACTTTCCCCAAACTTAGGGCTGCTGAGATCAGTCATGATACGAGTCATCTCCAGTGGTGTTTCACTACAGCAAACTCAGTTCTGCAGTTGACCAGCATAGTCAGAAATAAATAATTAAGTGGGAAGTAATGAGGTAGAGATTCCAGCTTCACTCAGTACTACAAATGTGTTGCTCAAAACTGCCAGTTTGCTTTGTCAGCAGCTCTGCTGGCCAGGCCAGAAAGGCTGCCCTGTGACGTTAGGAAGACTCATACAAGGAAGATTTGCTTTCATGTTGCTAACATCACAAGCTAATGGCCCATCGCTTTTTCACACCCAGCCCAATAAATCTATTCTAACATCTTCCGGGACTCTTTGGTTTTGGAGAGAGGGATGGGGGCTATTTCCCTTTTATTAAGCAAAGAGTCCTGAAATGGTTCTAATGCCATTTAATGTTTTTGTTGGCTTGCGTGCCTAGAAGCGGTAGATAGAAGATTTGCAGCTGACGATCTTACACAGTACTTCTAGCTGTAGGCTTTGAAGAGTGCTTCTGAAGATGTATTACAGATACACCTCGTATTTTATGACTGTCTTTAGAAGAAAGCTTTAGGGAGTTTTATTCTCTATCTTCCTAACACTTTAAATCTACCAACATCTCTCTGGGCTACACATCAGTGTCATCAACTGGGGTAATCTTTGAGAAGCACCCCCTTTCTACAGCAGGGGCTGAGCTGTGGAGGGGTAGCTCATGTGCTACATTAGGAATTCAGCAAGATCCCAGTTCAAATCTCTTCTGGTTAAGCAGGGGCTTAGAACCCAGATCCTTCAGCTTCCCAGGTGAGTGCCTGAGCTATTTGGGAACAAAAGAT